TCCAAATTGTCCATTTTTGTGGACAATCTAAGCGTCAATAAAGGAGACATTACTATGTATCGGGTTGGCAAGAAATTAATATCGGTTCTCGCGTTTTCGAACTTCGACGTTGAGTTTCGAGACGGTAATTTGCTTCGTTCTGTTTGTTTTTGGTCATTTTTCGTCGATCGCTTTCTCCGGAGTTATCAATGCCACCTTGAGTTTTTTATAGGTGAACCTATAATCTTTCTTATCCTTCCTTTAGGAGACACTGAGACGAGTTTGGCAAGCACTGTAAACAATATTTCTTCATCATTTGAACCGAAGATGATCAAAATCGATGTTCAAAATCGATGTTCGCTAGCAGCGATAATAAATAAATGGTTCAGAATTGACTGCTTAGTACTTTTTATGACGTCTGTATCGATAGTTAAGCATGCATCGAAAATTCTCTGTCGACTATCTTCCTTTGGAGGTTCTCCACAAGGTGACCCAAAATTATGGGACTATTTCCAGGAAATAAGGGATTCCTGAAGTCGTTCGAAGTCGGCGAGAATGCAGTACGCGGCATTGTTTACGATTTATCAACGGGAAACGGTGACCGTTTTCGTTAATAACTCGTAAACGAAGCCGTGGATTGCATTTGCGCCGAGGAAAAGGTTACTTCGAACGACCTCAGGAGGCCCTCATTTTCCGGAAGAACTGTAACTTCTGGAACACCCTGTACAAACTTGTTCCTTCAATGCACCTTATAAAAAGAAATCGAACGGAGTCCAGGTCGGGAGAGCGAGCTGGCCAATCGACTACACCGCCGCGACCGATGCAACGTATAGAAAATTTCCCATCGAGTAGTTGACGTGCTTCCATTGCGTAACGTGCTGGGAAAACGTTTTGTTAATATCATATTTCATTACGATACAATATCGGCGCTTCGTCGGAACGAGACTGTAATTCATTTTCAAGAAATATAGCATACTATCGGTCATTTGGTAAGATAATAGTAAAAAGTAAATAAAATAATTAAAAAAATAATGATAAATAAATAACTGAATAAAAATAGACATTTTTAATCGAATCACTAGCAGCAGAATCAATTAAGAAGATCACGTTCTATGGTTCACTCTGTACACCAGGGATGGATAAACTTTTGATCACTGCGGGGACCTGTTTTTTTTTTAAATTATAGACGGCGGTGTACCAATTTAGTACTTGCTAAGTGATCGTAAGAAAGGTAAGTTTAAATTTAAAATAATAGATAAGTTTAAATCTAAAATAATAGGTAAGTTTAAATCTAAAATAATAAGTAAGTTTAAATCTAAAATAATAAGCAAGTTTAAATCTATAAAATAATAAATGAGTTTGGATTTAAAATAACAAGTAAGTTTAAATCTAAAATAATAAGTAAGTTTAAATTTAAAATAATAAGTAAGTTTAAATCTAAAATAATAAATATGTTTAAATTAAAAATAATAAGTAAGTTTAAATCTAAAATAATAAATAAGTTTAGATGTAAAATAATAAATAAGTATAAATTTAAAATCATAAATAAGTTTAAATCTAAAATAATAAATAAGTTTAGATGTAAAATAATAAATAAGTATAAATTTAAAATCATAAATAAGTTTAAATCTAAAATAATAAATAAGTTTAGATGTAAAATAATAAATAAGTATAAATTTAAAATCATAAATAAGTTTAAATCTAAAATAATAAATAAGTTTAGATTTAAAATAATAAAAATAAGTATAAATTTAAAATAATAAATAAGTTTAAATGTAAAATAATAAATAAGTTTAAATCTAAAATAATAAGTAAATTTAAATCTAAAATAATAAATAAATTAGAAACCAAAATAATAAATAAGTTTAAATTTAAAATAAACATAGATAACATCGCATCAGTTAAGCGGTCGCTTTGGCCACCTCTGCGCTGTATACGAATGGAACGAACAGTTAAACGTAATTCATTTTGCGAGGAAGAGTTCCGCGTAATTCTATAGCTGATCGACGGGCGAAAGATTGAGAATGAACGACCCGGCGAATGCAGTCGAATAAAAACTTGCGCTCGCCTGCCGGTTAATTCGCGAACTAAAATATTTCCCATTCTCGCGTAGGAAACACGCGAGTCTAAATGCGATTATTCGAAAAAAAAAAACGATTCGAAAAGCTGAAAGTTTATTCGGTAAAACACAAATCGAAACCTTCGTTTCAGTTTATCTCTGTGCACCGGAATTGTATTCGCTCGGCGCGGATCAGCAAATTATAAAAACGTTCGTAGTTCGTAGAGATTCGTCCTTTGAACTATATACATACATAGAATGAGCGAATCTGTTATATGAAATAAAATAGAAAAAAAAAACGTTCCATCCCGCGTCAATGAACTTTAACAACTTCTTTCATAGTAGTCGCGTTATAAAACTCTGCGAATAAACGCGCTTTCCGCTGCGAAATACGCCTGCAACGGTTTTATACTATACATTTTGTCGCCTGTGCGTGTGTGTGTGTTGTAAATAAAATCACGTAATCGACTTACAACTCGTTTGTAAATAAAAGCGGAGACGACGCGACACGGGAATCGGAACCAATCTCTAGAGTTAACAAACTTTCGTCGACCGGCTGTAATTTTTTCCAAGGCTCTCCCTATTTCTCCCCCGGTTGATTTTTCCCTTTACTTTCAGTAATAAGAAAAACATTTGAATATATCCTGTGTTTGCGATTCGCTGAAAGGCCGAACGTTTTTCCCCGAACGTTTCCCGGAGACAAAATGCCGCGAACGACGCGGCGCGGCGCGGCGCGGCGGGGCTGTGGATTTTTCCGCATTTGCAGTTTCTAAAGGTTGTATATTCGGAATGTTTGAAAATGAATTTAATGGAATGTCATTTTTACGGTACTTTTCGATTCCGCGGGGAAATCGTTAATGGCAAACCGAAAAAAGCACTCTATTTGATTTTCGCGACTTCGATGTCGCGATAGAAAAGGTCTTTCATCGAAATTCTAGGGGAACGTGGTATCTGATTTAAACGAGCCACCAAATTCTACTATCCGACGGGAGAGATGGAATTGAGAATTCGTAGTCGCGCCTGTCACATGCGCCAAGTTTTTGCGAAAATTCCCGTCTGAGCGGATTCTGCTCGAGCACGCCGGGGCGAACTGAAGATCGTTCGGCAAAGGCTCGCGCGCGCTCGTCCGATCTCCGAGAGGAGGAGGCGATAGAGCGCCCCGTGTCTCCGGCAATTGGTGTCAATTCGATCACCAATTCCGATCGTTCGCGGCACACGGTGCCGCGAGCTCTAAACGAAAGCGCGGAACGGAGAGATCCCGAAGAAGCATAATTCGAGCGGGTTTCCTCCAGACAGCGTGTTTGAAATCAGAGATCAAAAGCTTTGATTTGTGCTGGCACCGGGACGCGCCGCGTCTATAACACGTAGACCGGAAAACAGGAAACGAAACAAGAAGAAGGAGAGACGCGAGCGTAAAGGGTTAGAAGCTGCGCGTCCGCTTCTGGCTATTTACACGGAACCCTCTTTGAGGATGTCGGGAGCTAAGAAGAGAGAGAGAGAGAGAGAGAGAGAGAGAGAGAGGTTCGTGTGCTCGATAAAAGGAGGACGTACGGTTGATCAGAAAAATAACGGGTTATATTCGGAGCGCCTTCTCACCCTGCTGTTTGACCTTTCAAACGGTAATGATAGAGGAGCCGCATCCTCTTCTTTCCTTGAACGTCCTCGCGCCTTATTACCTTCGGATGTGAGATCCCCGCGATCGTTAATCGGTCCACTTTTTTGATCGTGCTGACCTGTGTGACATCGGACGTTTAGCTTCGAACGGCTGCTACGAAAAAGTACTTGCTGCAAGGGAAAATACAGCGAGGTCATGTCAGCGAGGTCGGTGACCTCTTATTTAGAATAGAAAATAGACGCGATTTAACATGAAACTTACCGAGCACTAAAAGTGATAAACATGTGTTATTTATTATTATTATTAAAGCATATTAAATATGTGTTACTTATTATTATTATTAAAGCATATTAATTTATTATTATTATTGAAACATATTAAACATGTGTTATTTATTATTATTATTAAAACATATTAAACATGTGTTATTTATTATTATTATTAAAACATATTAAACACGTGTTATTTATTTATTATTATTTATTATTACGAAGTTTACGAATAATAATTGGAGCATGCAGAATTAGTAACGAATTTATGAAGAATTTACAAAGAATAAATATTGCATGAAAATAACATGATCATGATGATTATTAACACTAAACCTACCAAGCAGTAACACTAACTGGCATGTACTACTTCACGAAAATGAGGAGACCGAATTTATTTGGAATTTGTAACGCTTTTATTATAAAACTTGCTCCAATAATATAACTTATTCAAGCGTTTTCCACGAAAGAGTCTCGGAACTTTGCAGTATTGCGAAACAAGAAATCGGTCACTTTTATAACTGCGGTCACATCCACCATACTCCCCAGATCTAGCACCCTCCGATGATCACTTGTTTCTCTCTTTGCAAGACTTTTTACAGGAAAAAAATTCAAAACTGAAGCTGATGTCAACCAAGCACTAGTTGAGTTCTTCGCCTCCAAAAATAAATCATTTTTTAAAAATGGCATTTACAAGTTGCCATCACGCTGGCAAGAAGTCACAAGTAACGATGGCAAGTATATTCTACAATAAATATTATTTAAATGTATGAAAATTGTGTTATATTTCAATTCAAAAACGGACAGAACTTTCCGGTAGACCTAATAATAACAGAATTTACAATATCATGTCCCTCGCAGGGACAACCCTTCGACGATAACTTATTCAAGCGTATTCCACGAAAGAGTCTCGGAACTTTGCAGAATTGCGAAACAAGAAAGCGGTCACTTTTATAACCGCGGTAGGTGTTAGCGTTGAACACGGCGATCTCGCGAGGTGATGCTACAGGTAGTAGGTTCGACGGACACGCGACAGCTCGCCGTTGACAATTCCGAGCGTGAAAGGCGGCCGGCGACGATGGAGAGGGCCCCCGGTTTATCGTTTCCGAGCGGAATCCTCGCGCGTGCCGTGCGCGCACCACGCTGGACGGGAAGATCCGCGCGTGTTTACGAGCCAGGCGTCGGATGTTCGCGGTCTACGTCGCCGTCGGGCCGCCGGTATAAAAGCCTAGAAAACACGGCGGAGAGTTGCAGTTCTCGCTTGGCCGCCTTAAATACCGTAATGGGAGAGATGAGATTTAAGGTAGAGTGTCGGTGTGCGAGGAAAAGTCGTTGGCGAACGGGGGTTGGAACGGGGGAGTGGGCGCGGGGAATCGGGCGGGAAGAGGGGCGGAGGAAAACAAAAGGAAGAGGACGAGGGGAGAAAGTGCTCGTTAAGGAACGGTTTGCTTTTTCTCGAACGCGGGTGGAACGACGGACGCGAGGGAGAGAGAGAGAGAGAGAGAGAGAGAGAGAGAGAGAGAGAGAAAGTGAGAGAGAGGGGGGAAGGGAGGGAGACGGGAGAAACGGAACGGTGATTCCGTTGGAAGGCGCTCTAATTGATAGTAATTTCAAAAATATAATTAGCTCGGCCAGATGAGCGCGCCCTCGCTCTGTCTATGGGCCTCGTTAAGCTCGAGAACGAAGTATGTAAATAATTCCGGCAGATTCGGCCAAGATGGCCGCACCCGGCACCACGTGGACCTTAAATCTTCGCCGGGAAATAGACTTCGAAGTGCGCGTCGCGATCCGTTTGCGGTCATTTTACAAATTCGAGGCAATGTGCGCGAAGACGTTTCACGACCGGACAACGTGCCGTTGTATCAGATCGATTATGTTGCCTAATTACAGTAAATCTTCAGCTTTTGAACAAAAATGGACGATTTGTTGACAGTTGTTGGCCATCGATAATTATACAAGCGAGCCGCGAGGCTCGAATAAACGTGTCTTCTTTTTGCCCAAGTTGTTCATTTTTGTTCATTTTCACAAGCTGAGCGTCAATTAGAGAGAATTTATTGTAGTTCGCAACAATTATTGTTTGCAAACATTATCTCGGACGGGGGAAACTGCGATAGAAAAATGGACGACAACTAAATCCTTAGCAAAGATATAATAATATTTTTGTTATGAACAAAATTTAAAGTCGATTTTTTCGGAAAACGGAGCTTCGCGTAAAAACAATGTTATATCAATATATATTTTTCTTATTTTTTCACGCGAGATATAAGATCGTGCTCTATTCGGTTGTGCTACAAATTTCGACGCCACCCTGTACACGACATGTTCAGAAATAAAACAGAATAAAATGCAGAAAATGTGCAGAATGTGCAAAATACAACAAATATGCAGAAAAAGAATTATATGATTATAATTATATAATTATTATTATATTATTATATAATTATAATTACATATTATATAACCTGTCTATATAATATAAGTTGTGAATACAGTAAATTCTCCCTAATTTTCCTGCTTAACTTCTAAACAAAAAATGGACAATTTGGGAAGAGGAGACGCGATTGTTCGAGCCTCGCACCTCGTTTTTTGATAGTCGTTATAGTCGCGAGACTCGAATAATCGTACCTCCTCTTCCAAAATTGTCTATTTTTCGTTTACAAGCCGAAGGAAAATTAGGGAGAATTTACTGTACTTCCATCGACGCGTCGCGGTCAGTCGTTTCCAATAATTCTGCGCGCCTCGGCGACCGAGCAAACGAAGCGCAACGCGCGTATACAGGGGACGGGCGAATCGAATTTCAATCCACATCGAAACGCGAAACTTTTATTGGCTTGTATAATCGACCGGTCGACTCTGTTTTCGAATCGGAAGTCACCGCTGCACTCCGGCCGACGTAATTAAAACGGGATACGTCTCAGGCTTCGGCCTTTCGTTTCCTCCGGCTCCCCCCTCCCCCACTCGAAATTCAATTTACCAGTCTATCTTGCAGTGTGTTCGACAACCCACTGTTCTAACTCTGTACAATCACGTTCGAATCATCCTCCACGGTTCAACCATGTAAATCCTTCCTAGACGGACCGGAGAGTCGAATCTTATTATATTATATATATTTAGTCATTTAATATTATATATACAGGATGTCCCAAAAATGTCTCGCAATCCGAAAGTGGCGGGTTCCTCGGGTCATTCGGAGCAACTTTTTCCTTTACAAAAATGTTCTCCGAGGCGCCTTTGACGAGTTATTAACGAAAAACAGTGACCAATGAGAGGCGAGCTCGGCTGGCGCGAGGCGACCGAGCCAATGAGCGGGACTGGGCTTCGCGCGCTGGTTGGCTGGGCCGCCTCGCTTCAGCCGTACTCGATTCTTATTGGCCACTGTTTTTCGTGAATAACTCGTTAACGGTGCCTCGGAGAAAATTTTTGTAAAGGAAGAAGTTGCTTCAAATGATCCGAGGAACCCGCTATTTCCGGATTCCGAGACATTTTCGGGACACCTTGTACATATATATATTTACTGAGTCGTCGATTTTTGAGCGCGATCCGAGCGCGAATTCGGGAGAAATTCCAGCAGTTCCTTTTAACACCGACTCATTCATTTCCCGCGGATCAGGCCACCGCGAGTCGCTGCTTTTCTCCAGAACAGCGCGTTTTCTCCAGCCGTCACGTTGAAAAGACCCTTCGAAATCGGTCCCTGTGCAACGCCAGGTAGAAACCGGTCGAAATCATCGATTACTTTCACCGCGTGCAATTATTCAAGAGCAGACCCCACGGCCGCGCGATCGATCGTTCCCGACGAACAGGTTCACAATCCCGGGGAAGTCGGTCAATTAGACGTGTCACCCTCCGCCGCATCAATAACCGTACGAAATGGGGACTGGGGTCTCCACCAGAGTCACTCTGGCAAGTTTTTTGCACGGCAGGTCGCGGTCGCCTTGACCGTCGCGTTGGCCCTGGGTCATCGATCACAGGCCGGCGTGATATCCTTGGAAGGAGACGCTTTCGACGGCCAAGAGGTCGCGCTGGATGACGCCGAGCAACAGCAACAGCAGCACGAGCTCTCTTTGGCCAGCTCGTACGTGCAGTTCCAGGGGCCCGTCGAGGGGCCCGAGTACGAGGTGAAAGTGCCGCAGCAGCAAGACGACGGGAACCATCTGCGCCACGACGAGGAGCACGAGTACGCGGTGGACTACGTGGCGCATCCGAGATACGAGTTCTCGTACGGCGTCGAGGACCACAATACCGGCGACTTCCACAATCAAAAGGAGACGAGAGACGGTGAGCGGGAGGGGGGAAGGGGTGTCCGAGGCGGCAGCCCAGGCTGTTGCCCTGTCGCACAGTGGGTTGGATCGAGAAATTCAGTGACATTCTGTTATAACTTTTGAACCGTCGAAGAAATCGCAATGAAATTTCTACGAAAAATATTTAAAAAATAGTTACTCTACAGATAATAGATTATTAAATATTTTTTGCATTTGTTAACCCTTCGCACTCGAAGGGTGACTCTGAGACACCATAAAAATTTGTTATATCACGTTCTAAGATAATTTTTACATTAACGAAGTTTAGATTTTAAAACAATTGTTAAAAGTGTAACCATTGTGTAAGTCGCAAGACTCAATTTCGCATGCATAAAATGCATAAAATGCACTTTGTCGTATAAAATGAAAATACTGTAAGTCAGAAAAATTATTTTAGATTTACGGTTAAAATAGCTTCGAGCGCAAAGGGTTAAACAATAATTTTTAATTAATTTTCATTGACATATTTTGTGAAAAAAGAGATTGATTAAATATAATGTTACAAACTATTTGTAACATTACAATACTAACGTACCTGGAATTACTAGCGTGAAATCCTCGTGAAGAAAGCGAAGGAAAAAGATAATTAGGTTCGTCAGGGCATTGCGAGGAAAAGAAGCATATTTTTTGGCGTCAGATGTACTGTTCAAAATGTTCAACTTTCACCCTTAGCGCTCCGCGCGTTTCTCGAGTACTGCCTACCAGCAAATCCGGCACATTTTTTGAGCGGAGCGCCTGAGATAAAGGAAGTCTTATTTCGAGCGGAAAAGATTACGCGTCCTTGCAAATGCATTTGATTTTATTTATTTTATAAATATACATTTTCCTATTGTAAATAAAAGATAAATTTTAAATTTTGTAATTCACCATGGTGCGATATCTTTGGTAACAATCTCCCATGTGCATTCTGGGTTTACTTGGACAAGTGTCACAGTGTTCGCTTTGTCAAATAGAGTTACCAGATATTTCTTTCAAGTTTAGAACATTTTCCGCGCAATCGTTGGTTTCCTTTATAATTTCATTTACCAATTCGTCCGTGAGAAATAATTAAAAATATTGAACCGGCTGTTCAATGTTTGTAGGAACTTGTGGTCCAACGACCTGTGGCAATACGCTGAAAGGTATTCTATCTGGAATATGTAATTCTTCCGTAACATCGCGCCATTCGTCTAAGTCTTGCAACGAATCTTCGCTTTCGCTTTCAATAATTCTCATTCTTCGTCCCTTTGGTAGTATAATTTCGCTACTACCACTCGAAGTGTCGGAATCATAACCAACATCGTCTTCCACAATGTCTTTTAACTCTTCAAAATCGAATACGTCTTCGGTATCGCTCGGCTCTACATTCTCATCGTAACATTTATTTTTCTCCATGTTGCTAACCATAGAAAAGGTCGAAAAATGGTTTAATCGTAACGGTACAGACTTAGCACGTTTCAACTACGGATAACAATTGCTATCGCCGACGATAACGTATGCTAAAAACATTTGGCTCCGCAGCGGAGCCTTCGGAGTTACGGAACAAACGACAAACGTCTCCGTAGCGGAGCCTTCGGAGCGCTAAGGGTTAAATTGTCGTATCTATTACAATTTATAATCATATTTATTAATATTTCCACTCTCGAGAGTGATGGACATTTAACAAGCAATAAAAGTTCACTGGACATCGATATGAGAAAATTAGATTTTTGTCGAAAAGTCACTAAAACCTTCGATCCGGCCCACTGTGCGTCGTCGCGCCGCGCCGCGTCGCGACGAAACTTTTCCACGTGGCCGAGCTCCTTTGAGAGCTTTCGCGAATTTCGCTGCGAGAGTGCCGGGCGACCGGGTCGCAGGAGAAATTCGCTCGGACGCGCACCATGAATATCCGAGGAGACGGAGAGCCGAGTAGACACGCCGCGCGGTCGACTTTAATATTCGGACAACGTGCTGTTTTATTACGCGTACCGCTACTTGTTTGCCGCTCTACCGTCTCGTACATGTTACACAGCTGGATACGTTTACACGGGGCTGCTACACGTATTCCTGCGCCTGGAAATCGACTTCGCTCGGCTCGCCGTGTTTGACCGCGCTGCCGCGCCTCGCGGTGCTTAAGGCCCCGATCGCGTCTACGTGCCAGGCTCGGCTCGTGCTAGCAGCGTGCTCGATCGACAGTGTTCGCATTAGACGTGCGAGCATGCTGCCAGGCAGGACCGATGACCCGACCGAAGTGCCTTGGACTGAGATTTTGGAGTTCGACTTCGACTTTACGGAACGTTGAAAAAGACAGAAAATGATGGATAGATGATATAACGCAACTTCTTTATTTTTTAGTGTTGGTTAATGGGACTTTTTCCGATACAGTAGCGAGATTTTTGTGATTGAAATTAATAGAAGTAGTTTCGCGAGAAATATAAGTATACTTTTCGTATTAATATTAACTTAAATATATTAGGTGAAATATTTAAAGTTAATATATCAATACGAAAACTTATATATACTTATATATACTTATATATACAAGTTTTCGTATTGATATTAACTTCAAATATATTATATATATTATATATTATATATATAAGTATATATAAGTTTCCGTATTGATATTAACTTTAAATATTTCACCTAATATATTTAAGTTAATATATATATATATATATCTATAATTATATATTATGATTATGTATATATATATATATAATCATTAAAATTAGATTTAAATCTAATTTTTTTTTTCTAATTTGGTCAATGTAAATCTAATTTTAATGATTTTAATCACAAAAACCTCGAGAAGAGATTTCGAGAAATCTCTCAAATGGAAGAACGATTCGGCCTTGATCGGACCTTGCACGGCCCGAGCCTAGCACGTAGACGCGAATCGGGCCTAATTCTCGAATCACGATGCTCCCGATACGACATCGGACACGGACACATCGACGCGTGATAGTCTCATCCGAGCGACCATGATCTCATATCGCCTACCTTCGCCGCGACTTCTGCGTTTCCCGAAGCACACACAGTCTCGGAAATGTTCATCGGAAGCTTCGGCTCGGTCGGGATTAACTCAGTATGTTACTTATCGTAAACCTATTTTTCGTGGCAGGCTCGGCACAAAAACTTTACGATTGACTATCGGGCCACGGGAAATACTCTCGGAAAGTTCTCATCGCGGTACGCCGCAGAGTGAACGGCAAACGTAGCAGAAGATGATGCCCGGATCATAAACTCAATGTTCTGTGCGAACCTCTGACTGCGGATTTCCATAGTTTTATAGAGCCCTGGACGAGGAATGAGTTCTATTTACCAACTGCGAAATCCTTTGGGGGTGGAAATAGAGTACGAACGTCATTAACATTGATACTGTTAGAAATCATTGGTTTTACGATCTTGTTTTTTTTTACAATGCTTGATATCACGAGGATTTGTTTCTATGAGAAATTTCTCGATCATCTTCTCTCTGCATTCGTGCTTTTCGTTTAAACGAATCCAATCTCGTCGTTGATTTGAAATTATATACAGTGGCTCACAATAGCGTTCGTACACGTTTAGAAATGTAATAATACTTTTTAAAAACTCAACCGAACGACTTGAATCTTTTTTTTAGACGATAGAGGGACTAGTCTTCTAGACGATTAAACTTAATCTTAAAATTACTTAAATTTAATTAAATTTTGGCTTAAGATTAATTAAATTTTGCTATTACTTGGAATGATAAAATAAATGAGAAACTCTCGTTTTATAACTTTTTTATCTGAGCCTATAACAAAAATTTAAAAAGTGCCTTTTATTAATCTTGGTAACTGAAAATTCGATTGCTGAAAATTTGATCAAAATCGGTTAACCCAGAGACGAGCTACAGGCGTTGAAAGATTCAAAAAATTGCTGATTTCTTCCAGTTTTTGGTAAAAAGAAACTGCGATTTTTGCCATCTTTTATTTTTTATAATTCACAACAACGTCAACCGATTTCGATAAAATTTTCAATGTGCATACAACTTGCCGAGATCTACGAGAGGCAATTTTTAAATTTCCGTTATAGACTCAGATAAAAAAGTTAAAAGCAAGAGTTTTTTATTTCCTTTCGTCATTCTAAGCAATAGCAAAATTTGAAAAAAGAAAACATTTTGGTCATCGTCCAATAAATCAGTCCCGTTATCATCTAAAAGAATGCAAGTCACTTGGTTCAGTTTAAAAAAAAAGTTATTGCATTTTAAATGCTGTATGAACACTTTTGTAGGCCACTGTACATTAGTCGCGTTTAGAGCTTAATGCTCGTTAACCTCTCGCCGTACCATTTCCCTCGCGATTACAGTGTTCGAACTTTTCCGATTATGTTAATTTCGTTGAAAAAAGAAACGAAGATTGATGTTGTCAGAATAACTGATACCATCGGAATTTTATGCTGAATTAAACGAACGGACTAACATTCATACGTAACTGGTAATTATTAGAAATCTTCGTCACGAGTCGGACTCGTTAAAGTGCGACGAAGGATTTAATTCCTAATTTTTGACCAATTTTGAAAATTCATTTCCATTGTAATATGTTCGAACAAACTGAATTTCACTAGGATGCGAAAGAGTTTCAGTGTCATCCATTGTGATCAATTTTAACTTCCTAGTTTCGGTATAATTAATTAATTAATAATTAATAATTAATTAATTGCTTTCGACTTTGAGAGAATTTTAGTAATTGACTGTTGGTGCTGAACGTGTTAAAGATCTAAAAACAAGTGATTTCCAATAATGTTTACGAACAAATTTCGCTGAACAGTAAATTCTCCCTAATTTTCGTTCAGCTCGTGAACAAAGATGGACAAAAATGGACAATTTAGGAAGAGGAGATACGATTATTCTAGCCTCGCACCTCATTTTTATAATTGTTTACAATCGACCACTATAAAAATGATCTGCGAGGCTCGAATAATCGCATCTCCTCTTCCCAAATTCTCCATTTTCGTTTACAAACTGAGGGACAATCAGAGAGAATTTATCGTATTGTGCGCGATGTCAGCTCAAATTACAGTAATGTCTCTCCAATTGGCGCTCAGATTGTCCACAAGAGTGGACAATTTAGAGAGAGGAGATCCTTATTAATCGATCCTTCCGGTTCATTTTCATAGTCACGAATTGTCAACAACTATAAAAACGAGTCGCGAGGCTCGAACAATCGCATCTTCTCTTCCCAAATTCTCCATTTTCGTTTACAAACTGAGGGACAATCAGAGAGAATTTATCGTATTGTGCGCGATGTGAGCTCAAATTACAGTAATGACTCTCTAATTGGCGCTCAGATTGTCCACAAAAATGGACAATCTAGGAACAGGAGATCCTTATTAATCGATCCTTCCGGTTCATTTTCATAGTCACGAATTGTCAACAACTATAAAAACGAGTCGCGAGGCTCGAACAATCGTCTCTCCCCTCCCCAAATTCTCCATTTTCGTGCGCAATCCGAGCGCGAATTAGGGAGAAATTACTGTAACCGGAATCGGAATACAAAAAGTACATTCATAACCATTGGAAACCCGGCTCGATTCCGTCACGCATCGAAACCCATCGATGCGCGACTCGATCACAGCGTAACAGAGTTCTGTTGTTGCATCGGTCGCGACAACTCGCGTCCGTCCGCCCGTCCGGCGTGCAACTTTTTATCCGGTTAAAACGGCCACGCCGCCAGTTAACCAAGCGAAATCGACTTACACCGAAATATCCCGAGCCGCTGCGGTTGTAAATAAGGAGAACGCGGCTTACCTAGCGTCGCAATCCTCCCCGCAGCCGTTTCCTCATCTATTAGCGTAGTTACCCGGCGTCCCCGTTATGCTAATAGCCACTCCGGCGCAGAATTTCTGCGGCAGCCAATTACGTCTCGTTACTCGGGACCGGGAATTGGTTTCGCGGCGACCATTTGTCCACGGAGCGTTCCTTTTCCACCCGCAGGAAGCAGCGTGTCCGGCGAGTACAGCGTAAAGGAGCCAGGTGGCAGCGTCCGGGTCGTCAGATACCGGGCGGACAAGGACGGATTCCATGCTGTGGTGCAGACTTCTGGCGAGACCGACCACGCGGCCGTTGTCTACGGTGGTCAAGGCCAGGCCGAGGTTCACGATCACCAAACGGCGGACCATCGGCAACAAAACGTCCAGCATTACGCCACCTCCTACACCAGCCAGCACGCCTACTGACCAGCCGGCGACCTGCTAAGGTCACCACCGGTCAGCCAGCGTGCCTGCCGATCAGCCAGCGCCTCGGCGATGTCCGACCGTTCCTGCCATTGTCCTGTTCCCCGGACGCAGAGGCGCGTCATCGAGCTTTCGCGCGTTCCGCGACAAACCAAAGCACGGCGGGACCGCCGTGAGTTCACCGTTCTACGTTGTAAATATAGTTCACAGTTCTGAATAAATTAGCTGCGTCGATCCAGCCTGCTTGTTGTCTCTCTCTCTGCGCCGCTAAACGCGATGTCCGCGTGTCCACCGGTACCCGCAACCCGGCAATTTTCAGCTATCGCGCACCCGCGCGCCGTTCACGCGACACCCGACCGTCGCACGCAGAGCGATGGGTGTCTAAACGGAGATCGGAAGATGATGGGTTGAACGGTAATCGGCTGCAATTTGTGTAATGGGTACCATTTTCCAGTGTTTTCGATCTTGCGTTCCGTTGGCTTGGTAGGGAAGTAATTTCGGTATTTCTGTGTGAAGTAAGACTGAAGTTTTTCTAGACAAGAAACGAACTTTAATCGGTCAAATATTTTATATTCTGTTCGATGACCTTTTGCCGTCTTTCTGGGAAGTTCGTGATTCCGCGCTCGTAAAACTTCTGGTCTCTATCGGTAAGAAACTCGATCAAGTGCGATTCGAGGCTATCGATATTATTGGAATTTTTACCATTTATAAAGTTTTGTTAACTTCGAAAGCAATGATAATTCGATGGTACAAGGTCGGGACTACAAAAAACTCAAAAACTCGAAAGCTCGAAGCTCGAAGCTCGAAAGCTCAAAAAGCTCTAAGCTCTAAGCTCGAAGCTCTAAGGTCTAAGGTCTAAGGTCTAAGGTCTAAGGTCTAAGGTCTAAGGTCTAAGGTCTAAGGTCTAAGCTCTGAGCTCTAAGCTCTAAGCT